TCGAGCGCGGCCTTCATCAAACTATTCCATCACAAGATCAGACAGGAAATACAACCAGAGAAGCTAATTCTACTTTATTGTAAAGCTACATTGACAGAATCTTGCAAGTCTAAAAATACAGTTCTCCCGCCGTCTCCTTTAGAGGCCAAGAAACTAGGAAGAGTCCCTTCTGAGCCTCTTTTTCCACCCATTATGCAGCTGCGGGCTATGCCCCCCCTTATCTGACCATTCCCTTGGCAGCATCTCTTGGCTCCATCTCCCAAGGTCTTTCCCGCATACCATTATAAAGGGGAATAGACTCAGTTACTGTCAGCCCTTCAGGGTAGACCAGACTAGGACACTAAAGTCATGTAGGCCAATACTACTTTTACTGTAAAGTTATCGTAACTCTGCAAGTCTGAACACACCTCCCCCTTCTCTCCCTTTATCTTCGTGTGAACTAGGGAGGGGCTTGTCTGAGATGCTTAATCAAATTACATCCTTCCTGACTCAGGATCCTTTTATCTGACCATTTTCTTTGTATCAGCTCTTCCTCCTGTCCCTCAAGACCATTCCCCCTTCCCTCTACAGTTACAGTGGCAATGGGTATACAGTTACAGTTCTGGGTGTACCGTCAGGATATCGGAAGGATCAGGTCTGGGAGAGACCATCGTAAAGAAACTCTCTCTATGTGGTCACTAGGAGTTGACCCCAACTTGATGGGACATAATCAAATAACACTGTTACCTCAAATTGTTTTAAGTGTGGGCCTGTCTCCTTGGCATTAAAGCCTGCGCTATAAAATGGATACCAAAAAATGCAACTTGGGAGCTATCAGCTTCTGTAGTTTTCCAGGACTCCCCAAAGTGTGTGTGTGTGTGTGATTTTCAATCTTTTGGGGGGGCATTAAGGAGTAAAATGGGTGCCAAGTCAGGCAAAATGTTCAAGAACCCATTTTAGCCTTTTAAGCCTTGCTTTGCTTACTTCTGGAGTACAGCTATCAGTGCTGACTGAACTTGGATTTCCTTGGCTGAATCCTAACCCTAGAATTTCACGGGAAGGAAAGCATTACAGACATATAGTAGTTGGATTCAAAGCCAAAAAGGGGTTTTGCAGGTCAGCTCCTTAGAAGTTGGGTCTTTTCCTGAGTTTGCACAGTAACTGCCCATTTCTAGGAAAATATGCGTTTTTGTTAAGGAAGTACTGACAGTCTACCTATGCATTCTCTGAAGCTTCTGCTCACATGATATTGACAATTTCTGAATGTACATATTTTCCTGGGATCAGATGGCTGCTGTTAAATCAGAAAAAGATACAGCTTCCTTAAAGATGCAGACATACTTGCTCTAAAACACCTTTCCTGCTTCAGATACAAGGTGCTGCATGTTCCTAAAAAGTATAGTGTACATAACCAGCAGGAAGCCAAGAATGGCTCTTAGCTACACCAACCTTGCTTCCTGTATATTTTATTTATGATTTGATTTGATGTGATCCATAACCCACCTTTCCTTCAGGAGCTCAAGGCAATATGTATAACATTCTCCTCTATTTTTCCCACACACTACCCTGGGAGCGACCCAAAGTCCTGAATTGCCATGACTAAGAGTGGACTTGAACCCAGGTCCGCCTAGACTAGTCCAACTCCTTAGCCACTACACCCCAGGAGCACTATTAGTGCTGTGCTACTGAGGGCTGTTCTAGCTTTCAGTAGCAAGCTGGGGAACACACTACAGAGAGTAGAGGCATGGGCAAGACAAAAAATGCATTTTGACTTGGTTTCATTGCTTGTAAATGTCATTAAAATATAGTCTGTTGGCTAATTCTCCATTCACATTCGCCTTCTGTTGCAAGAGAAATTATATTTCGATAACAATTTTGGAACGGCTCTGAGAACTAGCCTCAGGCCTGGTGGTTGTGCACCTTGATGTAGAGTGAGATTTCAGAGAAACCTCTCACCTCCTATTTCCTACAAGGTAGCAGCGGTTGATCTCCTGGTCCCAGAAGTTGGAGAACTCTGCGGTGGAAGTTTGAGAGAAGACCGCGTGGATTTTCTGCAGTCTCGCCTACAAAGGTAGTGGGGATTTCTCTGCCTGGGTGTTTGGGAAGGGGCCGGGAACAACTTAATCAGTAGTCCAAGAGGTTTCTGAAAGTCATCAAAAATTAATAGGAAGAAGAGACAAGGGGCTCAGGCAGGAGATAACTTATGGGGAAGCTGTTTGCTAGTGATCCCATCTCCCATCGGTGATTATAGCATGTTGTCTTCAGTTCAGATGTTCCTTGAGTCTCTTCTCCAAGAGTGATGCTCAAACTCCAAACTGCTAAATTTGGGTTAGGGAAGGAAATGCAGTTTTGAGTCCGTGCCTGTGGGCCTTATGAAAAATAAGGTATTCTGATGCTTTTTTGGAACAGTAAGTTGTGGTTGACGTTGCCTTCTTCTGCGATGGTTTTTCAGCTTTCCTTTCCTGTCAAACTACGGGTTGTGGATTCTTCTGCAAGACCCGTTCTTGCCCAGTGCCTAATGGATTCCAGAGGATTCCAGAAGGTGTTTGGGGATTTCCCCAGCAAACTGGCAGGCAGTTCCATCTCATGCTGATCCAATACTGCCATTCCGAGATGGCCAAAGTGTTGGGTAAGATCGCTCTTGTGAGGACTCCTTGCAAGTGAGTCTTTGGTTGCTGAAGAGCTGAATGAAATGAAATGACTGAGAAGATACTGAGATACTTGAAGCTACACAGCGGCTGTAAGAGCAGTGGAACATCAGCTCTTCTCCACACTTATGCATCCTCTGAATCCCCCAGCAGCACTCTTTGGTACAGAGTTTCTCAACCTTGGGAACTTTCAGATATGTGGACTTCAACTCCCAGAATTCCCCAGCCAGCCAACTCCTCTGGGAGTTGAAGTCCACATATCTGAAAGTTCCCAGGGTTGAAAAACACTGCTTTGATGTAACCAAGACCTTTTGGGGCAAAGCTGTAAAGCAGGCACATAATGGTTGCAGGCACAGTTGACATGTCTGCAAGTTCCTTACTGGATGAATTCACTAGTGTCTATTGTAAATTGGGGAACATGGGGAACATGGAGATCTGAGATTCTTCTGAACCTGTGGAACCTGAAAAACTGTGTAGGGTTCTTAGTGATATGAACTCTGCCTCCTGCAGGCTACATTTGTGACCTTCCTGACTGTTTAAGTAGCTAGGATGGGCGTGAGTAGCTTGATCCAGGAGACCGTCAGTGCTCTTTGAGAAAGAATGGAAGCCCACCTGCCTTGAAAGAAGGCTGACTTTTTCCAGACTTATTTAAGTCATTAAACTTAATGCAGCTTTTTAAATAGCCACATCATTTCTTTTTTCAGGCTGATACAGGAGCCTGAAAGAGTCAGGCTGTTTTCATGAATAGCGGAGAGGTTCTGTGCTTAGGTGATCCTGGGGAAGGTTTGTCTGTGCCAACCCTTTGAGGTAGGTCAGATCAGGCAACAGACACTGCAAGAACTACTGGAACTCTGTTGTAGGGTATGAGAACAATCTTAGAAGTGTGGCAGAGTTTCTGTAATGGTGTGTGGGAATGATCTTGGGAGTTGTGGCGGGGAGAAATGCTGCCTAGGGAATGATCAGATAAGAGGGGGCATAGCCCACAGCTGCATAACGGTCAGAGAAAGAAGCTCAGAACGGAACCTCCCTAACTTATCAGGCTGTAAAAGAAACAGCGGGAGATTTGTACTTTCAGATTTGGAAGATTATGTTAACATAGCTTTACAGTAACGTAGAATTAGTCCATGTGGTCATGTTTCCTGTCTGGTCTACCTGAGAAGTCTGACAGCTTCTCTCTAACTTCTCTTATACCCTACAGAATCAAAGTGTGGTTATTTTGTGTCTCTTTCTCACACTCCCCCCTTTCCGAGGGCTGGGCTGTTGCCTACTTTCTACTTTATTATCTCTTAATGGTTCTGCTAACAGTCCCTCCTCTGCCTTATCTCTGCAATCCTCTACAATCTATGTGGTCACTAAGAGTCAACACCAACTTGATGGCACTATCAGTCAGTCTGTGTTCAGGCTAAGTCCTATGTGTTTTTGTGGAATAATGTTTGAAGCGTGCGCACTCCTAGTAAATATACTTCCCATCTTTTAATTCAAGAAAACGCTGCTTAGTTTTAACTCAGCTTTAATTCAAACAAGAGGCTGAAGCCAGAAGATGGTGTTTCTCCATTATGGTTCCAGAATTATGGAATAGTCTTCCTTACAATATTAAATAGGCCCCACTTCACAGCCTTTAGAGAGGCTGTTAAAACCGAGCTCTTGTGGATCAGCCCCGTTGTGTTTATTCATATTAATGAATTACAATTACTCGAAGAATTGCTATTAGGTTTAGGCATAGTTGTATTTTGATGTGCTGCCTCAGAATGGAAGTTATTTATTGTATCGTGGATGTTATATTGTTTTGTGCTGTTGTGAGTTTTTATCGTTAATGCCCCGTTGACATTTTAGTTATGCTGGCAATGTGAACATTCTCACTGCTTCACTGTACCTGTGGATATTTTCAGTTTTGAATTAGCCATTAGCATGGATGTTTCCGTTGTGTCTTTATGGCGGGTTGTTTT